GATTTTTGGAGAATATGAAATTTCATCTCATGATATGAAATCATGAGATGAAATCAGAGTGAAATCGCATATCCAAACGGTGATTTCATCCCACTATTTCATATCACATGTCCAAACTGCACAAGTGAAAATATACGTAGCACAATCGTTTATATCCTAATGTCTTGCGACTTGATATATCTAAGGGTAAAACTGTAATTTAATCATTATTATATAAGTATCGATTAACTTGATTGAAAGTGTCACGTCAGTAAAAAAAAGGGCGAAAATATAGAAAAATTGAGCTGGGAGGGGTAAATATGATCTTAGTTAATTTAAAATGGGTGGGTGATATTTCAGTCATAGAAAAGGAATATTTATACCTTATCCCTGAATTTATTCAAGGAAAAAGGTGAATTGCATTTTTATATAGTCAAACCGACAACTTAGAGGTGAAAAAAAAATGAATAACCACACAAGCTCATTTTTTTAATTTTTATCTTTTCCATGTCAATAAAAAGAACACTAGTTGCTACAACAAATTTTCTTTATCCTTTTTTTCGATAAATTTTTCCATTGAAAAATAGTAGATGTCAAATACTCTCTTGGTTGATTCTTATGTGTTTACTACATAATTTTTTTTTTTACTTTTACTTATTTTTAGCATTTCAATAGAAAATCTATTTTTCTTCTTCAAGTTTTACCTTCAAACTTTAATCACTTATTTACTAAATTATTTTTCGAGATCTAAAATTATATATCAATTAGTATGAATATTATGATAAAATACTCATATTAATCATTAATTTAAGAGATGTGTGAAATTCAAAGTGATCTAATAAAAATAAATGAAAAAGGTACAAATATAAATGGAACCCACAAAAAAATTTCATGACCCCAACTAAATGTGAATGATTCTGAGCAACATGAGTTGTGGTGTCGTGATAGACTATTTTATCTTTAATTAAATATCTCAAATTCAAATTCTAAATATAGAAAAAATCACGTTGAATTTGGGAGCGCCATGTCCGAATGACCCTACCATACGAGATTCAAATTTAGTATCGAGTGAAAAAATAAAAAAAATTATATATAAAAGAGAGGCTTGAGAACTTGTGGGTCCACTTTCATATTTCTTCATACACGTTTTAAAATTGTAAAATTATCTTTCTCTGACCTGTGGGCTCGACTTTACACTTCCTTTAGTTGGCTATCTTTTATTTGCCTTGGTACACAATCTAGCAATTTTGTACTTGGCCAATCATTTGGTGATAAAAAATATAATACAATTACAATATTAGGAAAATTTATAAAATATCAAACTATTAATTCAAATTAAATGCTATAACCACAGTTTGATTTAATTGTAATTCGTAGCAAACTATTGTTATTCGCCTCTCTCCCTGAAATTCTCGCTCACTACTATGTTTCTTGCTGGCTTTCTCACCTCTCTCACTTTTATACAAACACAAATGTATAAAATGCGTTTGTGTTTGTATAAAGCGAGATAAAATTATATATACAAATACAAATACAAATACATATATTTTCGTCCTATAACACTTATAATTATACAAATATAGATCTTCCCTGCCCAGTTTTCTTTTGTCGTTCTCTCTTCCTCGCTTTATACAAACACAGATTATACAATTGATTTTTTTTGTATATGTATACCGAAATAGATTATACAATTGTTTTTTTTTATATGTATACCGAAATATACATATTAATAGTCATAGCAAACATAAAGTTTGTTATAGAGCGCAATTATACAAACTATAGCTATAACATACAAATATGATTTTTATGTTTGCTAAACCTAAAATTTACTCTACAATATATCCTATTTTGAAGTAATTATAATTATTAATTACTTTAATGTGCTTTCTCAATTTAAGAAGATTTTTTTATAGTTTATATACTTATAAAAAAAAATTATTTTTGAATTTAAAAGGGAGCGTTCTTTGTTTAGACAAAATAAAAGGAAAATATGAGTCGTTTGCTATATGAGATCCACTTGAGAAATAGGTTAGGGCTGTCATCCATTTTTGCCGACTAATTAACGACTATTCTTCATTGATGTTAATTCATGTATTTAAGCACGAAATTCTTAATATTAAATATGTTATAATATTTGTGTGATTGTCAAGCTTTTGATATTGTCAATGTTAAATATATTATAATATTTATATAACTATAAATCGTCACAAAAATTATCTAACTTATTTCTAAATCTTAAAAGAAATATCTCTTTTTAAATACTTTAAAAGAAATAAATCACATAAATTACAACAAAGAAAATTTATTATAACATAAATTATTAGATCCGTGCTAACACTGATGGCATCTAAGTATAACAATATATAGATGTGCCACCTAATTTTACAGCCTCAACATAAAAGGGACTGACTAGACAAGGATCATTTGGAATTGTTCTTTCTCTTTTTTTTGTTTATAAAGTTTGAAATAGGCCACTTGCATGTGACATTAATTAAATTATATCATTATTAAAGAAAATGACATTCTCAAATTGGGTTTTAGTTTTAGCTCCTGTTGGTATCATAGACATGAAGATAAGTGCATGTCTACAGCAACAACATAGTAGCTAGCTAGTACCACTATATATACTTTGCTATCAATTAGTCTGTCTTATAATAATCCCATTCATAATCCATGTGCAATATACGTGGGATGATAGAGACTTAAGGGACCAAACATAATGCTGTATTACATTTCTTTTGACCTATTAATGCTAATGACAACAACTTTTTTTTAGTTTTCTAATTAGGGACAAATAAATTTTATCGCTAAACAATGAAAATCTCATACTAATACATTTAAAGGGTGGAGATTTGGGTCCAGTGCTATAGTATTCGTTCAAGTTCTATCATAATGCTCTTGAAATAATATTTTCTTTTTAATTATTTGGTCTGTAAAAATGAATACATATCTTGGAGCCCATTATATGTGGGAAATTGTGATGGAAGATATATCCTTACAACCTCTTTTAGGAAAATTCTATTCTTGCTCAGATTAAATCTCATTTGGATGAAAAAAATTCAAAACCAAAACTGTAATTCAAAATTCAGCTGCGGCTTCGATTTTATCTAAAATCATTGCTTGCAAGACAACAAATGAATATTGGGAAAAACTAAAAAAGAATACCAAGGGTGTGACCGACGCAGGCTAATACAAATTTTGAATTTGAAAAGGAATTTTGAATCTTTTAGAATGCAAGATGATGAAACTATTGTTAAGTGTTCTGGCAAGATTTCTTTAATTGTTAACAATATTAGATTGTTTGACGATGATTTAAAAAATGGCAGAATAGTAGAAATTTTTGTGTGACAATTCCAGAGAGATATAAGTCTAAAATTTCATCTTTGAAATAGTCTAAGGATCTCTCTACCATCATCTCTATTGAAGAACTAATAAGTGCTCTTCAAGAACAAGAATAAAAAAGAGCATTCGGACAAGATTTAATTTTAAATGTCCAAATTATATCTAAATGTTTTTAAGATAATATCTTCTTCTTAATTACGAACTAAACAACATAAAATAAGTAAAAACCACTTATTTTTCAAAAAATATATACTATTCTAAATAACACAATTTCATGAAAATCATTTCTCCTGAAAGCTAGGGATAGTAATGGGGCTGGACACGCGGGTGTGCGACAGCTTGAGCTTAACTTGCAAAAATTTTAAACGTTTTTTTTGCATTTCTATTTTTGTAAATTTAAGTAAAATGTTATTTTTTCAGTTTTCTTGCCTAAAGTCGGATTGTATTTCTTATATATTATAAATAATTGATAAATAGAAATTAGTGATAATTAATGATTATTCAATATTAATATTTTTTGAACAACATTGTTATTACTACGGACTATAAATCTGTTAGAAACAATGCAAATCAAATAGGGCATTAATTTTACCGAGACTTGAGATAGACATAGAAATGAGAAACTATAATGATAAATGGTCCGGGTTTCGTTCAACCCACCCTCGCTCCGCACCCACTTTTTGCTTAGAAAATTTTGTTTTAACCCGCCTCACACATACATGTGCACCTACAAATGTCTAAAGTCGCCCCGCCTTCTTGCGTTGTTTAATGAAAGCAAATATGGATTTACCTTAGATCAAGTGATGTCATCTGACATTAATATTTTATCAGAAACTTTTATTAAATATGCATGTATAATTGTATGGAAGAAATAAATGGTCAAATTGAATAAAATGACACCATTAATGAAATTGAATAATTATATTTTTCTTCCTCTCAGCTTATTTTCTCCCTAATGAAATTGATTATGATTTATTTACGGAATTAAAATAATGATGAGTTTTTAAATAATCGTATGATGTCTGATATCGAAAAAAGTAGTGTTTAATTTATTTTTAACGAGATTATTGAATATTTTTTTCAAAAAAATTAAACTAATTGGGAAGAGTTTAGTTATATACGTGAGTTTTTTTTTTTCTGTTTTGTTTATATTGTGTTCTTTTTAATTATGGTTTTGTAGTATTTCATTTATTTGTTCTTATTTTAAAATGTGACATCTCTTGCAAAAAATAATAATATCCTGCCTAAGTTATTGCATGAAAGGATCTTTACACAGATATATATTGGCTATTTTTAATTTAAGTGACTGGGTGAGCAATTATTTAGGTTAATTATCTAATTATTCATGCAAACTGAGAACTAGAAGAATTTGTTCCATCTAAATGCAAACGTCATTAGAGATTTGCATGAGCTATAGATTGGATGGGCCTTGTGGGCTTTCACTTAGTGACTGCAAGCAATAGTGTTAATTCAGTGAAGAGAATTTGACACCTTATATATTACTTTACTTTATTACCCTTATTTAGATATGCCACTTAAAAAGGACCAACACTGCAGCTGCTGATTGTACTAAGCGCAGTACTAATTGTACATTTCAAAGGACCAACACTGCATCTGCTGATTGCACTAAACGCAGTGGTAGTTGTACCTTTACAAATTGTACATTTACGGGACCAACAACTTTTCTCATTTTCTCTAGAAGTTTCTCAAATTTCTTACCCTAATTTCTCTCCCTCTCAACTCTTCCGTCGACTTCTCAACTCTTCAAGGGCGAATCGAGCTGTTCTTCAGTGGTTTCTGTTTCTCTATCTATATCTCTCTCAAGGTTTCCTGAACGTTTCTGTTTGTCGCCGACGACCTGCGCAGGTTCTTCTTTATGGTATAAGGAAAATTTCAAGGGTCACTCCATCTCTTCTTTAGTCTTTGCTGTTTGTCTAAACCATTTAAATCTCTGTCTGAAGCTTTCCTGAAGATTTCACTTTCTTCCGGACGACGTGCGCAGGTATTTCTTCATCCTTTAGGCGACCCTAATTTCTCTCCCTCTGAACTCTTCTTTCTATACTTCTGAACTCTTGCTTTTCCCATGGATCTTCCAATATTGTCGTTGGGTGGCATAGCTAAGGATCTCAGCTCGCAACGGTTAGTCTTACCTCTTAGTATCTTTTGTGCTCTCCTCCTTACCTTATTTTGTTCTCTTCTTAGAGGTAGTGTTGTGATACTTCACCTGCAGCCTTTGTGAATGTAGTTATTTATTTTCCTAGATCTGATTCTCAAGGTAGATAGATATATTTGAGCCTTGTCTATATTTAATGACTTTCTACGCTCAACAGGAAGTTGTAGAAAATTATTAACATATACGTGTGTCCCCTGATCCAGTGCTATATTTGCCAGCTTGTCTGCTAATTGATTTGTCTCTCTGAATATATGTTCAAATTTGCAATTAATGGCCCTAATAATCTGTCTGATCTCCTCAATTTCTTCTGTTATTTGGCAAGGAATCTTCCACTCCTTCAATACTATCTCTTTAAGACTCAACGAGTCTGTTTCAAGAATGATAGTATGAATTAAGGTTAACCTCTCTGCATTTCCTTAGAGCCATCAAAATTGCTGCAGTTTCCACCTCTATATAGGTAGCTATCCCCTCAATGCTTGTGATTTTGGTTAAACAAGGAATTTCTCCCACTTTATGTTGTTTTACCAAGAGGAGGATAAAAGAACAAGAAATAATAGTATCTCCCTACCAGTGATAATATCATTGTTTATTATACTAAATATATGTATTAATACTATGAAAAAAATATTTATATATTTAACGGAATGACACTACAGGAAAATAGTTCCTTTTGAAAGTAGTTACCTATTGGCATATTTGAACATACCTCTTCTATCTTAAAATTAGTCTAAACTAATGACTCAATGATATAACCTTCTTATATGTATGTAGAATGATAATTAAAATTTTATTTTTTCCTTCTATAAATATCGACACCACTTCCTAAAATTGTTGTTACAGCTAACGCTCAATTAGTATTGATTATACTCATAAGTGATTAAGAGGTACAATCACTATGTGTATATGGTGTTGTATGACGATATTTAATTTAAATTTATTTACTTTACTTAAAAGACAAAAAATATCTAAGTGTAAGTGGTGGAAACATATTGGATTAAGTTATTGAATGAAAGATTTAATTTATAACAGTTGTATAAAAAAGGAGAGTAGTTTGCAATGTGGTTAGGCCAAGTGACAAGCTATTAAAAAGTCACTTGACAATTCGTTTTATGGGTTGTCATAGGAAACCGGGTTTTTTTATGTTATAACCATGGATGTTGTTTTGATCATAGTAACATTTGTTCTTTACTGGTCTCTGTTTCTCTACAGCCTTTAAATCTGTTGCTGAGGCTTTGCTGAAGATTTCTGTTTTATTCCCTTTCTCGGTGTTCTGTCTATACTGTTGTGATCACACGAGGAATGTTCTACAACATATACTGAAATTCTTGAATGCCTCTGGAATTTAAAGTCAAACAAATGTCTATTTCAGCTGGTTTTTCCTATTCATAAGGGCAGAAATGAGTAAAGTTGCAATCTTTATTCTTTTCCTCTATAGTTTATTTTTAGGGCTTCTGATAGGAAACATCGCTTATTCTTCTTATATCCATTGATGTTCTGTTGCCGATAGTAACATTCTCTTTAATACATTACGGTGTTCATACTTCTATTTTATACTACATCTTTAACCTAATTTGTTAACAATATATGTTATTTGCCCCGTCCCAATTTATGCCTCTCCAATTCCTACTTTGTCTTTTCTTCTGCTGTTTCTGTCATTCCTAATTTCTCTCTTCTACATCATATTAGCCCATCTTATACTGTATGTATGTGCTTCAAACTTGTGCTGAATAATTCCATGTATTTGGCTATTACCCTATCTTCACCATCGAACCACCACAACCCCTGAAAACCACAAAATTGACTTTCGCACTTTCACTGATTCAAAACTTCAGTTTTGAAGGGTTTCTCCATTTGTGCTTTCCCTCTTCTTTATGCTTCCAATTGCTTTCATATTTCTCCAAACTATTTCATTGCCAAAAGGAAATTATTTTTTTCATGTAATATAATTAATTATTCATTTCATTGGTTCTATATGTACTTGTGACTTATTTCATATTGAATTTCCTTAAATTGAATAGTCCTAAATACTCCATTCTTCCTGAAGGAGATTTCCTCTAACTCAGCGATAGAAATAGTTGTGATATACCGATTTGTTCCGCTGCTAACCCAAACCTTATATACATGCTACGCAGTCCACAAGATTCAGCTACATCCCATAGCTGCTCACAGCTAACTTATATGTTTTGTCGCATGCTCTATACACTTCCCTACATCCACGAGCTATTCTCCGATGTTTGACTTCACATGTTCACTCCGGTAGGAAAGTCTCTGATAATAGTCCTACAATCCACTGTTTGCACATTGCTTTTGCTTTAACTTATATGCCTATTATTGTTTAAAACAACGTTAGCTGCTACAAATATTCCATGCAGTATAATTAATGCTTCTTTGGACCTGTTTCATATGTTGTTCTAACTTATTTCACATTGAATTTCCTCCGTTTGAACATGCGTAAATACAAACTCTCTTTTACAGGAGATTGCTTGCAACTGAAAGGTAGAAATACCGGTGATACAGGACAGCCTGCAGGCTCTTCAACTACCCCCAGAAACCATATATACATGGTAGCCCGTCCACAACATTCACACGCATCCCACATGTGCTCACAGGTACGTTATAGGTTTTCTCCCATGCTCTATACAATTTGTTAGCCCCAGGAACTATTGACTCATATTTTACTTCAACTGTAACAATAAAATCTCAAATTTAGTCACATTTGTTATCTCACACGTTTGTACTATTGACTCCAGTATGACAGTCTGACATAATGCTACTAGGATCAACTTACAGTACTTCTACAATTTTCTAATGCTAATTTATTGCTTCTCTTGTTCTTTTACTTCCCAGTCTTTGGACATCACTTTTTACTGAACTCCTTTACTTAGCGTTTCAACTTTGCTCAATTTCCTGTTTTCCCTGATAGTCCAAACTGTTAGCACCTATTGAAACTCATTAACTGCTATGCCTAGCACGGTATGGAAATGGTTGCTTCTAAGGCTATCCTTGCTTTGTTTCATTACCTTATCATTTCTTTATCTGCAATTAAATATCCTTACAATATACAGCCCAACTACATATTACGCTTCCGTAAGTTTGACAAAACAAAGTAACAAAAATAGCCACTATAATACAAATTACAGCTTCCCCCTTCTCTCTTGGACGAGACACAATTATTGCACTCACCAATACATGTCACTTCTATTTGTAAGCACTCTCATCACATTCCAAATTACTGGTTCATCCTGTAGTTTAGCTTTCTTTACCAATGTTTATTCAAAGGACTAGGCATTCTTCAGTTGCTTTTTGCCCCACTGACTTTGTACGTCCTATTTTCTTTAATACGAACCCAAAACTTGTACAAAATTGTCACATTCTGCGCTATCTTCAACTGCAGCCTACAAAAATTTATTTTTTCCTCCCACATATTTTCTACAGCATATTCAGCTGTGCGCAACTGATACAAAATGTGCATCATCTCTCTCTGCTGCATGTCCATTGTTTATGTCTTTTTCCTGAACGGACACATTTGAAAACTCTATCCTCTATTTCCACTGCTTTCAAGTGTAACTTGCTGCTGTTACTTCTGCTTTTTTTCCTTACCTCATTTTACCTGCTCATTGAACTCTGCTAAAGCGTCCTACCACATTTGCAGATCACTGTACTTCAACTACGATAGCACCGTTCTTTCTGTTTTAATTTGCTGCTTATTCTGTGTTTTCACTCAACATATAAAATTTAATATCCTTCTGTACTCTATACGTTATGCGAGCCAATAGTAACGGCTACAACTCTGAAGGGGTATACTTGTTCCACAGTCTGTGACAACCTTCACATTTGCTCCAAATTTATCTGTTCGTAATGAACAGGCACTGATTTAGGTGTTGTCTTTCTGCCAGCTGTTGTTTTTGGATTGCATAAAACTTTCACATAAAATCTTACGAGATAAAGATGGAAGCACAGGTTAATAGTAGGATACATGCTATGTGCTATTTCATCATTCTCTACTTTATGTTCCTTGCTTCTCCTAACTTCCTTTGGAAACAGTCTGTTAATGCTTTGGTACTACGTCATAGGCTTACTTATGCAGGTAGAAGTTCCTTTCTACTCTGTGTTCCTGCTTTCCGTTGATGCTTTGTCCCATTTTTGGTAAAGTACTGCAAACATATACTGTTTTGCTCCAAATTCATTGTTTAGGCAATATACCCATGTGGGCAATGCCTATATTACTTGGAAAGGTATTCTCCAGTGTAATTAGGTACTTCTGTGCTCTACTTTTATGTTTACGCCCTGCCGTTCTGATTTCCTTTCCACGAGTTGCCTGTTTCCCGCATCATCTGACTGCAACTCAACTATTACTTTAACATATTAAATCTTACTTGACAAAGTTTTGCTTTCTCATATTGTACTAATTGTTTATAGTTAATGTACGTTCCTTGCAGTTACAGAAAACATATACGGCACCCCTTTGACTTTTCAAGCATTATTTCTTTGCATTTCTGCAACACAAGGTAATCAAATACTTGCCTAACTTATTTCTCTATTAGCATGTTTTCTTCAGAACATGAGTCATACCAAACACGTTTGTACATTAGACAGTTACAGTAGTCCAATGCTCATGTGTGTGTATATCTCCGTTTCATTCAACGCAATTCTTTATGTTTTCGTCTGATAAACCTCTTGAAATTTTACACACACTACTATGAAACCTCTTACTTTATTGGCTGCTTTCTTCCTTTACAGGAAATAAACAAATCTGCTCATTCTGATTGTTCAGGTTTTGGCAAAATACAGAAAATACAATTGTACTTCAGGTGACCAATTTTTTTTTTCTTACATTTGAACAGCAAAATTTTTCAATGAAATTGCAAATTCTTTATAGCTATTAGTATATCCATTTTCACCCTTTACACCTACCATAAAACTGACATTTGCCTATGCTGCAACAAACTTTATCTTTAGGTCTAACTTCATGTCACTATCAGTCTGTTGAATTACTCAGTTACCTGAATTGCCTTGGCAAAATGTTTTCACTATCATATGCTTTAAGTCCCTTTATATCACTAGAGAACTCTTACAAACAGTTGAACCTGCACATTAGTTATTATTACTACTCAAACAGCAAAGTTCCTTATACACTTTCACCCAATATTATTTGGACTTAATTGTAACTCAGTTACATTACCTACAGCACAGCATTATCAGTACATACATGCTAACTACCATAGTGCCAACATTCTCTACAAATATCCAACAGTCGAAATGTATTAATCTACATAGTCATTTGTCTTACATTTCCTGAAAACCTTAAACACCCATTCTGTATGTTACACAAACTATTTTAACCCCTTTAATCGTACTTGTTACAGATTTTCTCTGTTCCATATGTAAAATGTTCGTATGTGAAAAACATGATAACTTATTTTATTTGTTTCAGCACAACAATTACACTCCAAATATTGTCTATGCTAAACAATCATTGTGAAGAAATTAAAAAATATTCATTACGCTTATATAGGATGAATGTCATACATGCTGCATGTCATACACATTTTCTATTCCTAAGTTGTCCATCTATTCACAAAGGCCTTATCATGGTGGCTACTCTCATTCTACTTTCCATATATTTTTCAAATTGTGTATCCTTCAATTTAAACCTAAACACATTCTTATGTTCACCTTTTTGGCTTTTTCCCTTCCAATTGGTTTTCGACAATTCTATGCTTTTCCCCTACATTATGTTAGGTTATAAATCAGTATAACAAATCATGAATTACTTCAAATAGGAATGGAAGACAATACAAATAAAGCGCCTACCAAGGAAACAACTTCTGCGAGAAATTTGCGCCGGCGTACTAGATATGCACAAATGTCACCCGAGAAAAAAAACTTACTTTTATCCCATCTAAGAGAAAAAAGGGCTCAATCAAAAATACCAAAACCCCTTCACCAATCAAATAGTACTACTACTGTTACAATTAGCACTTCTTCATTATCTCTTGAACAAGGTTAGCTACGCATATTGTTATCTTCCTTCTATGAAATATGTCTTCTAAATATCTATAGCTACAGTTACACAGTTCAACTGACCTACTGTTAATAGATTTATTTTCCTCATTTTGCAGATGCAGTTTCTAAACCTACAAATGTACCATGTGCTTCAACTGAGGCAGAACATATAGTTGCTTCCTCATCTACTTTTGAACTAGGTTAGTTTAGAAATAGTACTTCAATTATTTTGCCTATATTCATTTCACCTAATTACCTACCTATCTCTGAATATTTCTATTCCTGCAAATATATGGAACTTTGAAAATAGCAACAACCAAAGAATATCCTTCTTTTCCAATGACAATCACTTTATGCATATGAATAAAAGTTACGGCCTTTCAAATGGTGACAACTCATTTCGAACTGCATAGAACATGTCTGCTTTAGTTGCCATCTGGTATCTTCAGTCTATTCGTTTGCTAATAGTGAATCAACGTGACAATAGTCTTTTCTGCAAAAAGATTTTTGGAATATATAGTATTTTACCTTCCGGAGAATATTTGGAATAATGAAGTTGCTTTCATGATGGTAAAAGACAATCTAATGAAGTTATGTTCTCTTTTCCCATTCTTTCAATGATCAAAACTTTGCAACACAATAATGACAATAGTTGCCTCCTTCACGGCAACATAAAGTTATTTATATGACTACTAAAGTACCACATAAGGTTTAAATTTTGAAAACATGTTCTATTATATAACTTATGTTCCATTTGTTCTAAAGTACAATCTTACAAGTTGGCAGAGAATGTATGATGCACTGACTGTACAAACAGCTACTGCTTAAATCAATTGAACAAGCTCCCTTCCATATTTCCATCCAAATGTTGTAATACCTATATGTGATTTCTTATTACTCCATATTCCCTCATGCTACCGCAAGCCTTTTTTTTTGGTCAATTCTATGTATTTTCCCCCTTTAAATTAGGGTATAAATTGTTTAACCAAATCATCAATTACTTCAAACAGGAATTCAACAAAATAGAGATAATGTCCTTGCCCAAGAACAAACTTCTCATCGAAATTTGCGTCGACGTACTAGATATGCAGAAATGTCACCGCACAGAAAAGAATTACTTTTATCCCAGCTAAGAGAAAAAAGGGCTGCATCCAAAAGACAGAAATCCCTTCTTCAATCAAATAATACTGCTGCTCTTACAATTACCACTTCGTCGTTATCTCCTCCACAATGTTAGCTAAGCATATTCTTATCTTCCTTTGGTCAAATCTCTTTTGTAAATATCTATAGCTATAGTTACACACTTCAACCGTTAATACATTTACATTGCTTATTTTTGGCTTGTAGCTTCCAAACCTACAAGCGTACCAGGTGCTACAACTAGAGGAGAACATATAGTTAGTTGTTTATCTACTTTTGAACTAGGTCAGTTCAAAAATATTACTTCGTCTTTTTTTACTATAGTCATTTGTCATAATTACCTAGGTATTTCTAAATATTCCTATTCCTTATACTAGGATCAACATCAGCTGCATCTCATGTTGCAACCAAATTACCTCCACCACGTACTGCAAATAAAGGTATGCTTCTTTCTACAAAAATCATTAAACACAATGTACTGCTTTCACTTTATATATAACAAATCATTGCTTTTTACCTTACACAGGTAGAAATAAATTACAAGTCAATCTACAAAATGATAATTTATTGCCAAAAGATTACTTGATTTTAAAAAAGTTCCAAATTGCAAATTTTGTCTAGCAAAAAAATTTCAATATGAATCACCAGGTTTTTGTTGCGATAATGGATCAATTAAATTAGGTTCTCATAGGATGCCTATTGAGTTGCGCAATTTATTCTTGGGTGACTCCAAAGAAAGTCAACATTTTCGCACTTACAGTAGAGCCTACAATAATATGTTTGCCTTCACTTCACTTGGTGTACATTATGATAGAGAATTAGCAAAGAGAAATCGCGGCATCTATACATTTAGAGTCCAGGGACAAATGTATCACTTCATTGACGATTTGATACCCTCAACAGGAAAGGGGAAAAACTTACAGTTATATTTCTATGATAATGAAAATGAGCTAACAAATCGAATGACATTAACAGATAATCTTAATGAGCTAATTGTTGCAAAACTCATGGATATACTCAAACTTAATCCATACTGCACTTTTCTCAGATCATTAACAATTGTTCCTAATTTATCTGAATTTTACATTGCTCTAAACTCAAGTTCTAATTTAGACCAAAGAACATATAACTTACCAACTTCATCTGAAGTTGGGGCAATTTGGATTGAAGATCAGGTAAATGCTAAAATTCCTACACCACATATTCGAATTTATACTCATAGTCAGAAAACCCAATTGGTCAATTACTATTATGGATGTTATGACCCATTACAATATCCACTATTGTTTCCTTATGGTCAAAATGGCTGGCATTGTGGTATTAAAAAATTGAACAACACATACAACTATTCAAAAAGGCAAATTTCTTCTGAATATGAGCAACTACCAAGTATAAAAAACATCAATTCTATTGATACACTTCTTCACATTGAATCTAACGTTTTATCAAAAGGATTAAGAAAAAGAGACACTGTTTCTTGTCGTGAATATTATTGTTATAAAATTCAAATTAGAGATGAAGAACCAAATGAAACTTTACATTCCGGTAGAGTATTTCAACAATACATAGTTGACCAATATATCAAACTTGAGACACAAAGATTAGATTTTGTTTCATTTAATCAAGATTTATTTAGAGTTGAAGCCTTTCAAGGAATTATTGATTTATTAAGGCAAGGAGAAAGAGATGCTTCCAATATTGGCAGACAAAAATTCCTTCCCGGTAGTTTCATAGGAGGCCCAAGAGATATGCGTCGCAGATATATGGATGCCATTGCTTTGGTACAACATTTTGGAAAACCAGACATATTTTTGACAATGACTTGTAATCCTTGTTGGCCTGAAATACAACAACATTTACAGCCAATGGAAGAAGTTCAAAACAGACCTGATTTAGTCAGTAGAGTATTCAGAGCAAAAGTAGAAGAACTTAAAACAGATATTAAAAAAACCAACATATTTGGAAAAATTGCAGCTTTTATGTATACAATTGAGTTTCAAAAACGAGGTCTTCCACATGCCCATTTTCTCATTCCTTTTACGGATGAATATAAATTGCTAACACCACAATCATATGATAAAATTGTATCCGCTGAATTACCTGATCGTCATATTGACCATCATTTATACAAACTTGTGACCAAGCACATGATCCATGGTCCTTGTGGGTATTTAAATCCTTCAAATTGTTGCATGCAAAAAGAAGGAAAATGTAAGTTCAAATATCCAAAACAACTTGTTGAACAAACAACAAAAGGAAAAAAATCTTATCCTCTTTACAAGAGAGCAAAAATGATCAGACCAATCAAAGTTAGAGGACACAACATTGACAATTCTTGGATTGTCCCGTATAATCCATTTTTACTTAGGAAATTCAATTGTCACATTAATGTTGAAATATGTTCTGACATTAAGGTTGTTAAATACATTTACAAATATATTTGCAAAGGACATGACAAAATTGCATTCGCTGTACATAATAATGATACTAATGTACAAATAGATGAAATCAAAGAATACCAATCTGCTAGATGGGTTTCTCCTCCTGAAGCTGCGTGGCGTCTATTTGCTTTTGCAATAAGTGAAATGACTCCAACTGTTTGCCAATTGCAACTACATCTTCATGGACAACATTTTGTTTCTTTCAAAAATAACCAAACTATCGATCAAATAATAAACAATCCAATGATAAAGAAAACCATGTTAACAGAATTTTTCCTTATGAACAAATTGAATAGCGATGCTATAAATCTGAATTTACTCTATAAAGAGTTTCCTCAACACTTTGTATGGTCATCATCATACAAAATGTGGTCACGTCGAAAACAAGGCCTTACTATTGGACGTATTGTCACATGTCATCCAACTGAAGGAGAAAGATATTATCTTAGGTTGCTTCTAATGAACATAAGAGGACCAAAATCATACGAAGATCTACGTACAATAGATGGAAAATGGTACAGTTCATTTAGAGAAGCTGCTGAAAAAAAGGGCTTATTAAATTCTGATAATAACTTAATTGAGTGTATGTCTGAAGCTGTAAGCTATCAAATGCCTTATAGTTTAAGAAGATTATTTGCAACTTTATTAGTTTACTGTAATCCTGGTAACCCAAAAGATCTTTGGAAAAAATATGAAGACTCTATGTCAGAAGATTTTAAAATAATTTTAACTATTACCAAAAAGGATATCCACCAATTAGTTTTAAAGCATATTAATGAGGTTCTACTTTCAATGGGACATAACATAAATGAATTCAAAGATATATTTGGAAATGTTAGCTTCTCTAAAACAGCTAATGAGGCAAAAGAAATATATTTTGAAAGAAATATAATAGTCTCTGAAACAGATATACATCTACACACCAAATTGAATATTCAACAGAAAAGAGCCTATGACATAATTCTTGAACGAGTATATTCCAATAAATCAGGAGCTTTTTTCATTGATGGTCCTGCTGGAACAGGAAAAACTTTTCTTTATCGAGCTTTGTTGGCTGCTATAAGAACAAAAGGATGCATAGCTTTAGCAACTGCAAGTTCTGGGGTCGCAGCTTCAATACTTCCAGGAGGACGAACAGCTCATTCACGTTTCAAAATTCCCATTGACATCGATGAAAATTTTAGCTGCAATATTAGTAAACAAAGTTCATTAGCAACTCTAATTCAAGATTCAAAATTAATTGTTTGGGATGAAGTCTCAATGGCCAAAAAAACACCATTGAAGCTCTTGACACACTTTTAAAAGATCTTATGAATACAAAAACACTTTTTGGTGGAAAAGTTGTAGTTTTTGGGGGAGACTTTAGACAAACACTTCCTGTTGTTCGTAATGGGAAAAAAGAAGACTTTATTGGTCAAAGTTTATTATACTCCCATATTTGGAATCATCTCGAAAAATTATGCTTATCTGAAAACATGCGTGCAAAAAAAGATCCAGCATTTTCTGCATATTTAATGAGAATTGGAACTGGACAAGAAAAAACTAACAACTACAACAAAATTGAAATTCCCAATAATTTTGTCATTCCCTTTACAAATGAAATCGAATCTTTGAATTGTTTGTTTAATGTAACTTATCCTGATTTCCGTACATTCTATTCTAATCCATCTTTTATAACTTCCCGTATTATTTTGACAACAAAAAATGATTTTGTTCATGAAATAAACGACATGCTTATACATAAATTTCCCGATGATGCTACAGTCTATACAGCTATTGATGAAACAATAGAACCAAATGATCAGTGCCAATTTGAAGATTTCTTGCATACCTTACATCCTGCTAACTTACCACCTTATAGATTAATTTTGAAAAAAATTTGTCCAGTTATATTATTAAGAAACTTAAATCCTACTGAAGGTTTATGCAATGGTACACGATTAATATGTCATGATTTTAAATCACATGTTATCAGTGCCACTATTTCCAGTGGTGATTTCAAAAATAAACATGTTTTTATTCCAAAGATACCATTACTGGCATCAGAAGATGAGAAGCTACCAGTTCCCTTCAAGAGAACACAATTTCCAATTAGATTATGTTTTGCTATGACTATAAACAAAGCTCAAGGTCAAACATTAGATTTTTGTTGGAATATATTTGCGCGAACCAGTTTTTTCACATGGACAACTTTATGTTGCTTTATCTAGAGCAAAATGTTCAGACAACGTTAAATATTAATACGCCCGCCTACAGCAGAAGACACAAATGATCATTCTACATATAATGTAGTTTATGACGAAATTATTCAAAAAGCATTCTCATGATACTTTTTAAAGCAACAAATGTAACAACTAGCCACCCTTATGCGACACATTCTTCAATTTCAATTTATTTTACTTCACCTTTTCTGTTTTACATTACTAACAATTAATAGTTGATATTACTTTGGTCTCAATTTCACATCCATTTACGCCTGCCAATTTAAGGGTCGCACTTATTTCACAACTATACATTTCTTTGGTTTTTTGGTATTTTCTTTATGACTTTATTTGGTCTATGTTCTAACTTCATTTTGCCTTTGCTCCATTGTTTTTCCTTGTAGTTTTGTTTTCATACTCCAACGATCTCATGGGCAAAAAATTGAATGTTGAATTGAACAATATTTTTGCTATTGGAGAAACACTACATTCAATTCATCGCTATCTCATTAACCACCTGCTGGCCATTTTCTTGAGTGGCATCGTAGCTTCACTCTCACAATTCATCTGATGAACGGGTAACAACTCTCTTCTCTCTTCAGCAAATTTTACACTTTTTACTTTCAATAGGTTTTGCCATGACTATTGACACAAAACCAATGATTAACTCGCTTGCTACAACAACATGCAGCTTAGGAAACCCCTACCATTTAATACCAATGGTTTCTTCCTCTATCTCGCAAGCTTACTCTATACTGCAACTAATGTCATATCTAAAATTAGCTTTTCGTCATAAAGACTTCTCTCTGGTTGAAGGAATTGTAATGGACTATCAAAAGCACTTGTCATTGATCAGATTTAGCAACAATGCTTTTCATGAAGATCTCCATCAGCACCAGAAGATTTACTATTCACTTCTACGACATCATCATCATTCGCTTCTAACTCTTCTACTCTTTTTTGGATCAGTCAAACATCCACACCACCATTTCTAGCTTTTCCTTCCTCCTAAAGTGATACTCTACTTTCTAACTCTTTCAACTGTTCTAAATACAACTCCAATTTGGCCTCAACTTTACCTTTTTCGCTCTTTACCTTCTCATTTTTCCTCTACATATTCTTCAATCAATTCTCCATCAATTGAAGGATATGCAGAAAAAATATGAGCACCTACAAAATGAAAAAGCTAAAGTTGAGCCAAAACTAAAGATGTATTTAGAAAACTTGACATAGTTAGAAAGTAGAGTATCACTTTAGGAGGAAGGAACTGCTACAAATGGTGCTGTGGATGTTTGAATGATCCAAAAAATAATAAAAGAGTTAGAAGCGAAGGATGATGATGTCGTAGAAGTGAAAATAGTAAAGATTCTGGTGCTGAAGGAGATCTTCAGGAAAAACAGTTATCACCGCCTATGCCTCCAGTAGTTAATTCAGCTGCAAATGGAAATGGCTGCGGTACATGAAGAGATGAAGGTATTATTATGCTAATATTTGTGTTGTTCACCATTTTTATACAGTTGTGTACTCAAATTTTCTATGGTTTTCAATTTCAGTTAGGAACTTACAGTTATTGACTGATCATTTCTGTCCTACGACTAAGCTTTACTTATGTATACATCCATTTTCTAATTTTTGCTTCCCTTTGGACCTAAACCTAACTCCTAAGAATTTATGTGCAACTGCAAATGTGCTACACACTGATATAGTAATTGCGTGCAGTGAACATGATTTGTGCTCCTTTGTTTTGAATTTCAAACTATAGGATTAACATGGTCACATGACTGTAGCCGCAGGCAGTGGTAACACAGACTTCATCATTTCTACAAAAATTAATCTGGTTAACTATCCTGAGGTCCAAACATCGCATCCCATACCTTCTACTGGTGGTTCTGCTCACATCAATATCAATATTTCCAACATACAAAAGAAAAGACGCCAGTCACAGCAACCAGGTACAAATGTTTTCGCATGCTTGTTCCTACATTTCTGTTGTATTATTAGGCTAATATTTGTCTTATTCACCTTTTCTGTACAGTTATGTACTAAAATCCTCTATGGTTTTCAATTTCAGTTAGGGACTTACAGTTATTGACTGATCATTTTTGTCCTATACCTAAGCTTTACTTATGTGTGCATCCAATTTCAATTTTCTGCTTCCCTTTGGACCTAAATTTAACTCCTAAGAATTTATGTGCAAATGCAAATCAGGTGCAGAGTGATATAATAATTGCGTGCACTGAACATGATTTGTACTCCTTCAGTTTAAATTTCAAGCTATAGGATTAACACGGCCACATGACTGTAGCTGCAGGCAGTGGTAACACTAAATTCGTTTCTACAAAAATGAATCTGCTTAATTATCCTCATGTCCAGACATTGCATCACATACCTTCTGCTGATGGTTCTGCTCACGTCAATAGCAATGTTTCCAACATACAAAAGAAAACACGCCAGGCACAGGAAGCAGGTACAGGTGATTTTGCATGCTTATTCCTGCATTTCTGTTCTTAATTCTGCCATTCAACCCATATTTCAACTTGTTCTTCTTTCACAGCTGAGAATACCAATCATTCTGCTTCTTTGTTCACAATATCGATCCTTTTTCTATGTAAATTGAACAACATATTTGCTTCTATATGTTGCATAGTGTATCAATAGAAGACTCCAACACTATTCATTCTCTATGGAATTTATTAGTAGTCTTCATTTAAGAAACTTTATCAACTATACTTGATTGCAAATTCACGTTAATAGAAGAGCATAGGGTCTATACATTGTATCACATAACATTATTTAAAACGTCAACACAAATTAGCCTTCTGAATTGGTCTCTCAACATTTTAAATTTATTGTAGCAGCTTCACATATTTGGGGATTAGAATTCTGTATTTCTTAGTGGTCAAAACGCAGCAAATGAAATCAAGTACAGAGAGCAGTACGAGGTACATTTGAGCTCCATGTAGTTTAGTCACAACCTTAGTTCTCATACTAACTTCCTAGGTATACAATAATTGTTCTTCCTTTTTTCTGACTTCATTCTCCATCCATGCAACTGCAATTTCGCAGGCCAAGCACATATCATCGTGCAGTGCTACCGATCTGCTCTACTGCAGAACAAGCTGACAAAAACATCCAGCATTTATATGAACAATGTCGTGAATTAACTAATGGACTACATGGTCACAGCACAGCACATAAAGTCTGAACACTAACTTAGGTAACTCTGTCACTTCCATGAAAACTACGTATATTTTTTCTCCTAAGCATATTCTCTCTAAATTTACAGTTCAACTTTGCTGAAAATTTAATCTTCTATATTTCCTTGCAACTTCATTTATTTCATTTTCAAATATATATAAAGCTTTACCGTTTCTGTTTTGCTTAGTATACATAATTCTCACCATAAACATCTAAGCTCAAATCATTCACATTTAAAGTCCCTAATAATGTGAAATAAACATTTATGAATTTTCCTTACTATAGGAGAAAACTACAACGACTATCATTCAACTTTCACATGTAGTAAAGGGAAAAGCCAACCACACTGTCATATTATATATTTCAACTATTTACTTTGCTTATAATTTAAGACTATAGCACACATGTTCAGTCTAAACACTAGCTTTCTCTACTCTTTTATATTTCATATAATATATCTCATCAGTTGAAAGAGAGAGTTCATATATATATTTAAACAACACAGTCAATTACAGCATACATTATCCTATTTGGATTGCAGCTTTTAACTTCTTCTTCTTCCTAATTTCCAGAAAACAGACATATATTATATATATCCTAAAGCACATATTTTCTATTCTATTGTAGGTCAACAGTTTTCAATTTAGAGCAAAGATGACTGTGCTTGCTCAACTTCTTACCATGAAGATAATAACAATCTATAGCAACATCAGCAAACTGCTGCAACAATGACAGTATACGCAGTGCTTCAATCGACTGGCAACTCAGCGCTAATGTACATGCTGAAGTACCAATACTGCAGCAGGTACAACAATTCTCCATTTGTTTTCAAAATCCCTCTGTTATAGTTCTTATGAAATGAAAATGACTTCTTCATCATACACAGTGCAATCAATGACATAGACATATTATAAAATCATCAAATGAAAGCAATTCCTTTCATGAGAAAAGTGTGTAGCTTGTTAGCAGTAAATTGCCATTCTTAGTAAATCAAGGTTTCCTATGTCCAACAAAATGAATAAATTCTTTACACCTATACATTTAGGCCTACTTCTGTAAATAGATACAAAATGAAGGCCACTCCTATTTTGCATTTTCACTTTCCGCGTGATTTAAACATTACAACAACTAAAGGCTCTCTTCTGTTGACACCTATTTGCTACCTCCATTGCAGCTGCCACATGTTATTTCTTTCTTCCTGTACATCCGTCTGCCAACCTAACAAAGGTATGCTGTCAGCATTTGCTCTGCTCATTTTACTCTCTCAATTATAGACACTTCAATCAATGACATACACATATTATAAAATCATCGCGTTAAACCAATTGTTCTGATGACAAAAGTCTCTAGCTTATTAGGAGTAAATTGCATACTAAATTCGTGTCCTTTGGCAAAACCAAATCTTACTGTATATTTGGTGATTCTCTTCTACTCTCTATATACATTTCAATGGGAACAAAAGGGCTCTTATCAAATGTAATTATACCTAAATGGGTTATATGATATACTAAAGATAGCGCCCTCTAGGCAAATCAATGTAATATACTGTAGCTGTTCACTCTACTAACACGCAAATGTCAGTCAATTCTTTCATTAGTGGCCTTACTTAGTATTGATTTGCAGTATATATATCATGTCGAACTAGTGGAAAACTCCACTCTATGTCTTACTGCTTCTGGGATTTCTACATTGCTGACGTCGATAACAAATATGTAGTGAATAGGTGAATGAAACATAATTCAACAGGAAAGAACAACTTCTTAATTTCCAGAATAAACTACAGTAGTTTAGCTGAAACAACGAGACAATCTTCTTTATCTAGGTCCTCTGCACTAAACAGACAGCTAACTTTGGGAAATCCAAACATCCAACAATTTTACCCAATGTATTAGCCACATAGATGCTTTACCCTCACACATGGCTGCTCTTTATGCCTTTACCACATATATGCCTTTTAATATATGCTCTACTGTTGGTAAACTGTCATTTCACCTTTTACTTTATTACAGTGGTCTGAAAAATACAATCTTCATTTCAATCATCGCTTTTCAATAGTTTTAACTAATACACTGTATACTTGCTAAACCTTAGTATAGTTAATTCTGCCCGTAATCATATAGGGTTGAATCATTGACATTTAGAGTCCCTAATAATGTCAAATACACAGTAATGAATTTGCCTTGCTATAGGAGAAACCTACAAGGAGTATGATTGAACTTTCCCAAGTAGTAAACGAAAATGCAAACGCATTAATGATCTCTTTGTGCTTCTAAACTTATTAGGCATTCAAATGTATTTTACTTCCTACATTCAAATTTACAGTAGAAACAAAATGGTAATCGTACACTATTTTTGCTACCGTACTAACCAGATGCCACATCATTTCATGTCTGTCTGTGCACATATATATATATATATATATATAGATAGATAGATACATAGATATATATATATATACACACACACACACACATATATATAGAGACAGACACATATATATATATATATTTTTATAGACAGACACACATATATATAATAATATACACATATATAGAGACATATATATATATATATATATATATATAGAGAGAGAGAGAGAGAGAAATATATATATATATATATATATATAAACACACACAGACAGAGACACAGAGAGAGAGAGAGTATATATATACACATCGATATAGATAGATACATAGATAGATATAGAAAAATATATTTTTTCCTTATTTAGAAACAACAATTAAACTACAACTGTCTTCTTCAAAAATTCATGCAGTTTTTGGTTGCCAATGAAATAATGCCAAAAAAAAAAAAAACTCATTACATTAGATAGTCAAAGGTAATGATTTTGTCTCTTTTTGGACTGCCAAATGTACTGATTTTCTGTCTTTTTTGGCACAATTTCATTGGCAACCAAAACCCTATGAATTTCTAGGAAGACACATGTAATTTTTTTGTCCTTTATAATTTCTACTATATATATTTAAACAAATTAGAATATTAACACATTAGATAAGACTAATTAGATAAGACTAAGGTAATACATATTGTTATATATATTCTCTAAAATATATAATATATATAATATTTTACCTTACCCTTATATATAGAAGTACTCATACAACACAAATTTAATAGGCTTTCATTGAAGAAAATTTTTTGCTCCCTTTCTCAGGTATTATTTCTTTCCTTTTCAACTTTTCTCTCTTCCCATTTTCATTTTTTCTTCCAGATTCTGCTTGTGACCAAAACAGAAAATCAAAATACATCAAAATTACTGTTATTTGGTGAATGTCAATAGCCTCCCTTATCAGTTTCCTGTTTGATGGCTCATAGTTAATGCTTTCAATACTATTCAATCTTTCATAGCTATGCCATGGATCCATCAGTATGCTTTTAGCTTCATGCCCAACATGATCACAATATCTGCAATATATCTCTTTTCTTTTGTCTCTTTTGTGGGTTTCTTTTTACTCACAGTTTAAATAGCAACATGAAAAATGCGTTTTTCTACGAAAATTAGGAAACATTTTTGGTAAGACTAACTGGTGCCTTTAGATATAAATAAATGTCACAAATTAGGTCTCTTGTACAAACTGTATGTTCCATGATACTAGGTCATACATAGGCCATCACATACTACCTCCAGTAAACTTTCTCACACATAATTGCTGCACTTTTAATAATCTCCAACATTTTATGTCCCTCTAACAGATCTTCTGTAAAAAAACAATTGTCCAACTGTACTCTCGACATTACTAATGCCTGCAAACTGCTTGTCTGTCTTCAGTGAGCTCTAAAGGGCCCTAAAAGATTTACAGACAACTCTACTTCTACTATGACAACACTGTTATTTTCCTTTTCATTACTACCTCCAGTAAACTTTTTCATATTATTTTCCCCAAATGCATAGTGCTTTGACTCAAGTTTCACAGATAATTGCTGCAGTTTTAATATTCGGCAACATTTTCTGTCCCTGTAACAGATCTTCTGTAAAAAAAACAATTGTCCAACTGTACTCTCGACATTACTAATGCCTGCAAACTGCTTGTCTGTCTTCAGTGAGCTCTAAAGGGCCCTAAAAGATTTACAGACAACTCTACTTCTACTGTGACAGCACTGTTATTTTCCTTTTCATTTGTTCTTCTGTTTTTTTTTTGTTTTTTTTTTTTGGGAACATACAAAGTTTATTATGTCCTAACTTGCTTTTACAAGAGTTTGTTAGTGCTTTGTTACTACATCACAAGCTCATTTGTGCAACTATAAGGTACTTTTTAGTCCACACTGCTCCTTGCATTTCATTCCTTCTTTCCTCTTCTCTAGACAACTGAAACAATGTTGCATATCCTTTATTTATTCAGCCCTATTCATAAAAACAAAACAAAGCAAGTAGCTTGCATTAATATTCATGCTATCCTGCAGATACTACTATTTGGTTAACTATCTTTCCTACAAACATGGTACTAAGAGTGAACATCAACCAAATAGAACCAGCAACACAAGATTGGATTTGCAAAGTTCAAATTGTCGAAATAGGCCGCCCAAGAGAAAGCCTTGACAAGAAATGTACATTCCAAAATTTAATTTTGGAAGATGAAGAGGTCAGCTCATTATTATATTTTACATTATCACTATTGCTCTTTCCCTCTCAACGTACTTAATCTCAACTTTCTATAATTGTCACTTTCAGGAATGCCAAATTAAGGCAGTTATGTACACCGACGAAATCGCACAGTATGCAGCTACGCTTAAACTACTCAATACCTACCTCATCTCTACTGCAAAAGTGAAAGTCTCACCAACTTCATACGGCAAGCCAATACATAAATTTCAGTGGACTCTTGACAAAGAAACAGTAATTGAACAAATCAAAGAATCTCATGAAGTTGAAAAGCCACTTCCACCGCCAACCAAGCTGAATATCACCAGCTTTGACCGCCTTCCTCATCTGATGGTCGATTCTGCTGCTGAAATAGGTACATCCACTGTACTAGCTGTTACCAGACTGAAATAAACATCTTTACTGCTGCAGAAGGCTCCCGACATTTCATTCTGTACTATATACACGCAGATATACTAGCAATCGTTCTTCGTTGTGGTCCTCAAAAAAACGCCGGTCGCAGTCAGCATAGGTGTCGAGAAATTACCCTTTGTGACAATCAGTAAGTATCACATTTCACAGTGTACTTTCCCATTTACTGTAATATTTTTTACTTAGTAACCACTTGCTGCATTTGTCTACTGAAATCATCAATTGTCATCTCAGCATTATCATAGTACTTACTCTTCTGTCCTTCTGTTCTGACATTCTCAGGAGAAATCAGTTTCTCTTCACTCTATGGGAGGATTTTGGAGAAATAGAAGGACATGAAATTTCCTCAAAAATGGCAACAGAACCAGATCTGCTTGTAATCCTCGGAAGGAGTATAGGAATCTCTACTTATCAAGGTACATATATACTCAACTTCTTACCAACATAATTTTATATACTAACAACACCATATACAACCTATGTGTTATACAGGGTTGTCACTGCAGACTAGGTACAATTCCACACTCCGTGTAAATCCTACCTACCCACAGGCAGTGGCGCTCATCAAATGGTACTGACCTTTCATATTTATTCTATAGCTTTACTCTGCATCTAAATAACCTACTAAACATATTATTTGATCTAACGACAGGGCAAAAGATAACAAGACAATGTTGTTAGGTTCTCCGTCAGAGAAAACCTCAGCAACCTCATCTATCAGTCCCATGATAGTCACTCCTGCTGGCCAACAACTTATCTCTATTGCAAAAATCTCATCAGCACCTTCTGTAAGTCATACTTCAACCTGCTGATTTGATAGTATACATATTCATTTTCTGCTTCTGCAACTTTGCCTAAATGATGACAACTTCCCACAGATGGGAATGTTCTATGTTGAAGCAGAGATGGCCATATTAGATGAGTTCCAAGACTTTTGTGTGCTTGAATGCTCAGGATGCAAACAGAAGAAGCGAACAAAGGATAGAAAGGATTTTGAATGTCCAAAATGCAATCGGAAAACATCATTAGTACCTCGGTACTATACTTTTCTAACTTGTAAATTACACTTTCTACAAACTATACCGTATATTATACACATATTTCTAACTTTCCTTCATTTCAGCTGTAGCTTCCAAATTGATCTTATTGACAATACTACTATAACTACAGCATCTATCTCAGCTGAATTAGGAGAAAAATTACTGTCCATGATAGCAGAAGACATATTTGACATCACTTGCACTAAGGTTATCGCTCATTCCCACTAGCTACCTGTACATTTCAATGCCAAATCCATCTGTTCTTTGGTTTTTTCTGTTTCTCTACAGCCTTTAAATCTGTCTCTGAAGCTTCGCTGAACATTTCTGCTTATTTCCCTTTTTGGGTATTCTGTATATACTATTTCGGTCAGACAACGAATGTCCTGCAACATATAGTGAAATTCTTCAATGCATGTGAACTTTAAACTGACAGATATGTCTATTTAACGTGTTTCTGCACATTGACAAGGGAAAAAAAGGAGCAAAGTTGTAATCTTTATTGCTTTTCTATTTATTCTCTTCTCATGGGTTGCAATAGGAAACCAGCCTTTTTGTTGTTATATCCAAGGATGTTCTGTTGATCATAGTAACGCCTGCTCTTTATTCTTTCCTGTTTCTCTACAGCCTTTAAATCTGTCACTGAGGCTTTGCTGAACAATTCTGCTCATTTTCCTTTTTGGATATTCTGTATATACTGTTTTGGTCAGACAACAAATGCTCTGCAACATATAGTGAAATGACGGATTGCATCTGGACTTTAAAGTCAAACATGTGTTTATTTCAGATACTTTTGCATATTCATTAGGGAAAAAAGGAGTAAAATTGCACTCTTTACTGTTTTGATGTATATTTTCTTTTTCTGGCCTATGATACAAAACCAGGCTTTCTCTTATTATATCCTTCGATTTTCTGTTTGATCTAAATTGCTTGTTCTAACTTCTTACATTTACAGCGACAATCTTTGTCTCTTACTCATGTCCATGAGATGCTGTCAAACAAAGTATTCGAAATTCAGTTAAGGAAGTCATCTTGGGGCAGCTCAAATACCGCAAATGCAACTTTGTCCATTCTTTCCTACATGGAAAAACAACATACTCCAGACAGCACTACTGATAGGACTCCTAAAAAGATAAAGCCTTTGGAAATAGGTGACGTAGAGGTCATGGTAACAACTGCTACAGCTGGTCCTTCAAATGCACCGGCAAAATTTGAACCACCCACACCAACCAAAAAGGTGTAAAAGGTCAGTCTACGTCTCAACTTCACACCAAATTATAACTCAGAATGATTATGAATTCCCCATTCTTACATTTACTGCGAACATTGCTGCTTAAGGTCTCTACTTTTACCTGTACCTTGCTTTCTTTTATACACCTATCCACGTACTTCCTGTAAAACATTGTAAGTGTTATGCTGCTGCTTTTGCAATTGCTCTTATCTGCTTTCAAATTTCTGCATTTCCTTTTCTTTCTGTCTGACATAATATTGCAGAGTCTCACATTAACTCAGCCGTAATAAATCTCTATCCTTGTTCATATCCATGCTCAAATCAATTGGTTAACAATTCCTTTTTTTCCCCCCCTCTCATTTTCACTGTTCATAATACACAGTTATCAATAGGCACAACAGCAACTCTATCAATTTTATGCTGCTTTCATGCTTCTCTTTCTATTTACTCCCTATATTAAAATGACTTTGCTATCTGTCGCCATATTTGCACTTTCTAACATACTTTAAACTGTGTAATTACAGGTACTCCCTCACACCATTTTGTGACTTATGCTTATGCTAGGGACACTATAATAAACGACTCTCCCTATGCTCTGGTTTTTTGCATCAGCAAGATTAGCTATCCGCAGGCCAACTGCAGTGTCCTCTAAATATCATAGACAATGACATGCTAATCTTATATTCCAAAACTGCAACATGTACTATATTATTTTGGTTATATTGCATTAGTTAGTATGTGCAAACCGTTGAACTCAACATCGTAGTTATGTCTATTGTACATATTCTATATATTTCTAATAGTACATAATATAATAGCTCGTGTTATCTATCTTCTACAAACGGTTTAACCCTTCATGCATTAATATTACAATATTTTTACTATTGGGCCCGTGCTTGGCACGGGCCTCCCTACCCTAGTACTTATTAGAAGTGAGAGTTGAGGTGTACCAACATTGCACTATTATATTGTACAAAAGGGATCATGAATTGTACTATACATGTTCGTCCTGCTTTTTCCCTCTTTTACGGCTTTAATTGTGTGGGCCCTATTATTACTTCTGTACACCATTTCATTTTTCCTTGCATTGTTCTTATATTTTATTATTTCCAATTTCTATCCTCCAGGGATCTTTGAATATTATTTATTAATTAATTCATTCATTAATAAATTATTTATATTGTTTCTTCCATTTTAATTGTTTCATCTTTTTCTTTTCTGCATGAACTGTTAAATATGAAGAATATTTTTAAATTTTGTAATCTTAAATTTAAAATATATCACATATATTAAAGTAAAAAGTATTTCTAATTTTATAATCATAGATACGCTATGTAAAAAAATTAAAATTAAGAAGTAATTTTCTTTTTTAAGTGAAATAAAAAAAAATTCAAATAAATTGATACGGAAGGAGTCATATTTAAAAAATAGAATAAATATGTGATATTATTAGAAAGAGCTTTAATATATATTTTAAAAATTATTTTGTCTTCCGTATATTATTTTGTGCATATATGTGGAGTTCTAAAGTTTTTAACATTTTAATATAGAAATGTGATTATTTGAAAATTTTAGTACTTTCTTCATTTAAAAATTTCTTTGTTTTTCTTTTAATTTGTTCTATATTTAAAAATTACATAAAAAGTACTGAAAATCACAATGTAATAATATAAGATATTAAAAAAAACATAATTAAAAATCATAAAAGAAATTTTATTGACTCTTTAATTCCATATTGAAACAAAAGAAGTTTGTTTGAAAATAACATAAAAAGTA